TCAGGACAAATATTTTTCAAAAATGTTTTAATTTGATTTGGTAATTACAACTGTTTCGAGAGCTAATACAGAATGATTTCAATTTTTGACAATTCTAAATGCTAATAATATCTCAATTATTCAAGAGAAGATTATGCTAAGCAACTTACTTTGTAAAGGGGGAATGGTGCACATTTGTCGTTGCACCCCACTTTAAAGAAAAGGGGGTGGACCTGACCCCTTGCACCCCCCTGGCTACGGGCCTGACTTCTATAAAATGTCGGTATTTGTTTAGTATGTAAATTATATACATATTGTTGTTTCCTTTTTCACTTTTCGTTTATCATTCTTTTAAGTTTTTACCCTAATCTTCTTTTTTGTCTCACATAATGTGCACCCCCTGTGCCCCACTGAGCCACCCTTTTAGCCGGTGTGGTATTTAAACCAAATATAACAGTTCTGATGTAGCTAGAAGGTGTTTTAAACGTTTTAGTTTATGCAGGAGCGTAAATAATATTTTTAACCAGAAAAAGATTCCTATACAAAATTGGGAACATTCCTGTATATACGACCGGACCTGACAGGAGATGTTTTAAGAGTAAAGTGGACGAAAAGAAAATTTTTGAATTTGAATCCTGCTTTTTCTTATCTTTCTTCTTATCAGGAAATGTATTAGGTTATCTTTCAGGAAAAATGCATTTTCAATGTTAGTTTTATTATAAGTGTTACAAGTCAGTGCTAGAGAGACTTTTTATGTTTAGACACATTTACTTAAAAATACAGTGATTCAACAAAATCAATTACAAATTAAGATCTGTAATGGATAAAAATCTGAGTTCAAATGTGAGAAAAGCCATTTGGAAACAGGGGCGCACAGGAACCCTGTGAAAGGCCCCCCACACACCCGGTCCCGCCTAATATATTAAACTTAATTATACATTCTTTTCTTATCAATTGACAATTTATTCATTTTGTGATAATTTCTCAAATTCTTTTCATTATACCTTAACCTTATTTACTATTTTTCCGTGGGGTTCCATTCAAAAACCATAACAGAGCAAGATGTTTAACCCATGGAGTGAAGTTAATTTAAGCTTTAGTTTTGCAGACCAATCTCTTAACGTATATGGAGTGAAGTTAATTTAAGCTTTAGTTTTGCAGGGCAAAAACATTTGTTTCTAATCCCCCCCC